CCCCTTGCTACGTGAACCCTATCGCCCGTGCGACTGGTTCCGAAAATAACCAAAATTGCTCACAATACGCAATTTTGGACGGAATTGCATCCAGATTCGTCCAGATTCCACCGCCTTTGCAGTGAGATGCATCTTGGGAAAGTCCTAGTCTGAGCATGATTTTTTTTCTATTTTTCTTTTTTTTAAAACACCAGGTCCTGCTGAAGTGTCGGAGTATGATCTTATTGAACCCACCCGACCCAACATCGGGACAATGATGACAATGTCACAATGATGCCTAGCCCATGTGACTAAGTGGTAAACAGATTTATGAGTTTCTAGGCGCAGCCCCCCCCCAAAACGGGAACTCGGCCCGGCATGAGGCCCGGCATGAGGGCCTCGTGGCACTACTCGCCATCCGCCAACATTTCGATTGCATGTGGACATCATTTTGTCCAGATGCATTCGAAATCCTGGGGGATGGCCAGCAGTGCAACCAGGGCCTGAGTCTTTTTTTTCTTTTTTTTTTTTCGGAAGAATTCAATCATTTTATTAAACATATGGAAAGCGAGGCCGGGAATCCTCACAAACAACCCAGAAAGGACTGGGGCCATTACCCAGCTTAGGCTATGGGACTCCTTAGACCCTCCTTGGAAAACCCCAAAATCAGAAATGGGCGTCTTTACACAGCGTCCTAAATCGTCAAATCCCTTGAACGAATGTGAAAACGCTCCCAAGTCCCTTGGGATAAAGGATCCGTGATAGACGGAGCGTTCTGGAGCTCGTGACCACAAGAGAATTCAGAGTGTATGTTGGTGCACAGGTGGTCCGTGGTCCATTGGGTGGACATCGCCAGCCTCCAGTACCGGAAGGGCCGCCAACGGCCTTTACACCGTTACCGTTGGTGCGAAAATGCGTGGGGGCGGGTCTTCAGCTGCGAGACGCTCCGTGGAGCGGGGTTTTGAGTGCGCGCGTCAACGGCCTCCACGTCCAACGGTCATTTTTTTTGAATTTTTTACAAGCGGCGTTGAAGCACTGCCAGCTGATTGCAGTCATCCGCGTAGCTTGTTTTGTCGGCTATTGTCGCGCGCGGGGATGCAATCTTCGTTTGGTACACACGTCACATGCTGCGATTCATGGCAGACGTCCTCCGACGGTTCCCGCTGCTGCTGCTGGCCACTCTTCTCCTGCTCGTTGTCATGTTGTTCCACGTGTGCGTCGTTGTGCGGGGTCCTCACGGCGGATGAAAACAACGAACTTTGAGGAAGACGGCGATGGACAGGCATGAAGCATCCAACAGACAACCGGCGCACGCCGTCAAGTACTCCACTTCGGGAGCGACGACCGGGGCGCGTCTTGCAGGCACGTATGACCCGACATTGTACAGTCATCTCCCGCCTCACGAGTAGCCGTTACCGCTGGATCCCGAAGAGCAATGGGTGGATTATCTGTCCCGCACACTGCCTCTGGGGAGCGGATCGACCCAGGACTGGATGGGGAGCCATTGTCGACATTCGTCATTCGTTCTCTGTTCTGCTAGAGGACGATGTCGGTGGAGGTGATATGGAGATTGTGGACTTGGATTTTGGTTTGTCGAGCGGGAGTGGTCCAGCAGCTACACACACTCGCGCGAACGTTCAACCCAGTGCCTGGTGTGACTGTCGGCGGATCGAGTGTGCATGGTGGAAGGTCCTCTCCCCAACGTTCGAGCCTTGATGGGTGCCGTCTGCCGTCAGACTGCCGCCTCCGTTTTCTCGGGGTGCGGGATCATCCGGTGACATGTTTCGCACGTCGTTGCCCCCCCCTTCGACATCGCCTTTGAGTGCACCGCGCCAAAGGATGGGCGCATCGGCAGCGAACACAAGCGTTGCCGGATCAGACGAAGTTGACAGGCAGGCATGGGAGTCATGTCGGCAACAGATGCGTCAAATGGCCGCAGAGAACATAACGAATGGGGTGTCCAGGATGCATGTGGCGAGTGGAGAACCGAATGCAGAAGACTCCCAACGGGCGAGCGATTATGAATCTACAGATGTGATTTGCGAAGACGAAGCGGAAGACGCGGACGACATGGAGATTCGACCCCTGCCTGTGCGTGGCAGAGGAAGGGGTGGAGGCGTGCGTCAAGAGAAGGCTGTTTCCCATGGCGGTCGGCGCTCGAAGGGTCCGCCAGGTGAGAAGGCTGGGAAACATCCGTCGTGGAGTGTTAAGAAGATGATGAAGCTCGCCCGGACGAAGAGGGATCAACAAGCTCATTTCGAGGGCATGCCGCACAACTACGGACGGATGTGCAACAGGGAATGGAAGTTGCATGACCTTCAAAAGCATTTGTTGGAGGTGGGTGTGGACAGGACGAGTGACGACATTGGCAAGAAGTGGGACAACCTCTTCCAGCAGTACAAGAAAGTGCAAGGGTATCAAAACGGCTCTGGAGGGAAGAACTTCTTCAACCTCACACATGCATTGAGAACAGAAGGAGGCTTCAACTTCAGAACGGAGATTCTGAAGCGCGTGTACGATGAGATAGACGCCATGTCGAAGGGCAATAAGACCATCTACCCGGACAACGTCGCCGACACAAACGCCCGCGGAGGACTGGAGATGCCACGTTCCCCGTCCGTTGCTGGAGAATCTCCCGCCGGGAGTGATGGGGGTGATGGGAACGACAACGGTGGAGGGTAGGCGCGGGAATCCGGCTTAAGTGCAGGCATCACAGGAGGGAACTGCAAGAGGAAGAACATGTGCCAACAGACATTCGAGGCCATTGCTGAAGTTATGGACAAGCACGGCGCATTGATGGCTGACACCGTCGAGGGGGCCAGCAAGCGACAGAGTTCCATTCTAGAGCGGCAATGTGACATTCTCGAGCGTGAGGCTGATGCCCAGCGGTGACATTACGAGGCATACGAGGAGGCTAACAAGTTGATGTGCACTGCATTGTTGGAGATCGCCAAAAGCCATCAGGGACAGGTCCTGATGCCGCCTCTGCTACTGCGTCGATCGTCCAGTCCGTGCATCCGCAGGTGATGCGCATGTCGCTTGTTGTGTTGTACTGACGCACTCGTCTACATACGTATATACATTTAATTTATTGTGTATAATATATACATAGAGGTGTATGTTCTTTTTTTTAGGGGGGAGAGAGAGAGAGAGAGAGAGAGAGAGCTGTCTCTTATACACATCTAGATGTGTATAAGAGAGAGCACATACACCCACCCACACACACAACCACGCGCGCGCGCCCGGGCGTACCTACGTGTGAACAGAACATTCCCACCCGGTCGTACTTTTTCGGTGG